GTATCTGTACTAAGGTATGTCCTGCAGAACTTGTTTTGGTAAAAGGTCCAAATACAATGTTTTGGCAAGGTAAACTTATCAGGCTTATTGAACCTAATAATTTTCAAAAGAAGGAGAAAATGAATCCCACCCTTAAGGCCTAGGCCACAGAGATTTACAAAGAAATAATTTTCTTTGTAGAGCATTTTTGGGTCTTTTGTGACATGATGCGCAAGGGAAGCAGCTGCAAATAAGTAACACTTGCTGTATTTTCTATTCCTTGAAAACATGGTGATAATGCTGGCTCCACCTGGGTTTAAGGATTTTGTCTTTCTCTCTCTCTTCAGCTGAAGTAGATAATCATTTGGTTCTGCAGCATTCACCGCTCTTGTTTACTCTTAGTCCAAGACAAGAGCTCTCTCCATACCCAGGTGCCCAGCAGATACAGAAATTTGCAGCGCCAGTAAAGCAAGACATTTAACTTACAAGAAAAAGGTATTAGTCTGGGAAATTGTCTCAAAAAGTTCTTTGTTTTCCATGTGAATTAGCTGATGTTCCCTGCTATTTCACTAAGACAAAAGATCAGCAAGTGCTAAGATCAGACTTCCACCAGCAGGTCTTGCAGAGCATGGAAATGAAGATAAAGCAGCTAATCTTCACAGAGCTTTGGCCTCATGAAGTTCTTTCCACTGCCCAGCAATAGATGTTACGTTGAAATTATTTTCAAATACATTTTGCTGGAATTGCTGAAAATCATACGAACGTGCTTTCCATGTATTTTGATGGATTTATCTTCCATGATATTTATTGGCATAACTTTATTGGCATTGGAGCCCATGTAAAATTTTAGCTTCAGTAAAACCCTGAGGCAAGTAGTTCCACAGCTCAATTCCCTTTGCATGCCAGTGGCTTCCTTTTGCTTGCTTGTCACCTGATAGTTTCATATGATGTCCCTTATTTCTTGCTTTGGAAAAGGTGGTGGCCAACCATTCCTAAAGATGTGTTTCTTCTTTTATATAGGGCTAGTTCCAGGTCTTAACTTACAGGTGCAGCCGGAATATGTTTGCATGATTTTCAGTAATTCCAATAAAAATTCTCTCAAGCCCCTGTTGTCACCAGGTGTGACTGAGCAGAAGTTTAGTGATGTCTTCCCTTCCTCATGCTTTTCTTAGAGACACCAAATAGTGTACTCCATAAGTTAAAAGAAGCACAGTGACATCGTAGGAAAAGCACTGGACTGATGTGCAGAAAACTTTTCTGTTTCATACTTCTGTTGAGCCGTCTTAGGCCAAATAGATCTTGCTTCTGATTCCACACCCAATATGAATAATGATAATGATATCTGTTGTAAAACAACTTGATATCCATAGATGAAGAGCCATATATAAGAGCTAAATATTATTACCACATGAATTCAGAAACCTGGGTCTTTCATTTTTTCAGGTGGGTTGATCCAGAGGAATACAAACTCTTAAGATCAAATGTATGAAGAAGCAACAATAATCTGTTAGTACTGCCAGAAAAATCTTGGTGGAAACAACTGACTAAAACTCTATACCATTTTCCCAAGGAAAGTGAGGGCTTGCAGCTTGGTGTTAGCTGTGAAAGAACTGGGACTAGTAATGAAAAAACCCAACACTGGAAATAACTTTATTGTATTGAATTTTTTTAATACAATTAAATACATTGTACACAATACACTCCAACTCAGAAGAAAATACAGCTTTTCCCAGAAGTATTACTCTACATCAAATAATTTTTTTGTACAATCATTCATTTTCTCATTTTTTTCCAACATAAAGAAAGCATATAATTTTATGTAGCCTATAACATAAAGCTGGAATTTACAAGGAAGCTAAAAGAAATTAAGTATTCAAAACCCCAACGACATTCCCAGTTCCTTTGTAAATCCTACTTATACTGTTCTGACTGGTACAACCAGGAGTTAGGTGCTTTTTGTACTTCCTGAACTGTACAGATGCATATTGGTCGTATCAAAAACATCCTCTCTCTACAAAGCCTGCACTGGTGTTCACTGCTAATGCATTTAAAGGAAAATAATTTTTAACTTTGCATTGATTTGCAGCAATTTTTGTCTTCAGGAATCAAACACCACACTCCTTTCTAAATAAGAACGTAATTAATTCCTCTTGTTCAACAATTAATTAGTTCACAGTTTCTACTTATGTATTGACCATGCATATTGATAGTTCTTTATGTGAAGAGGAAAGACATGAGGAAACAGCACACATATTTTAATCACACTTTGCAAACATGGGTCTTAGCAACATCATACAGTGTGTTTCATCAGAGAACTATACTCTTCTACCAGTTTCTTCTTTTCATTTAATTTTTCCAGTATGGCATCCATTAAGTATGAGGCAAAAGGAAACTGAAAAAGAAACATAGTAAGAAAAATGATCATTGAACTTTGTTTTCTTCATGTGAAAAACATTTATTATATATCTTTAAACCATTAGATTTCACTTAGTTCTGACAACTACCACACATGCACAGATCTGATCTTTAAAGTTCACCCACCTGGTTAGTGTCTGAAAATTTGCTCTCTGTCATAAAAATGATAAAAGAACAGAGTAAAATGAAAAAAGATAAACGCCTTATTGAACAATTCATGCTTTACTGACCATGTTAATGATGTAAACTGCAGTACCAGCATCTCTGTCATTTATCTTCAATCAGCTGATCAATAAGAGGTTACAGTCAACTCTAGGGCATGCAGAAATGGTAGTGTATGTTCGCTACTCTCAGGAGGATGAGACAGAACTACCAGTACAGCTCCCAGTGCTGTGGCAACTGCCTTAGACTCACATGTGAAAACTTGTAAATAAAAAAACCCAAAGCAAAAGAAAACCCAAAACCCCAGAAGCTCCAATTGCATTTATTGGGATATTACATAAACATCTGCTCCTCTAAAAGAAAATTAAAAAAAAAAATTGTATTTACATATTTACAGGGAAAAGTGAAAACCTCTTTTATATCTTCTCCAATATAAAACATGTATTTGCACAACTGATGTCTTCAAAGAAAGAGATTTGGTATATTTTTCAGCATCATTGCTTTAAATCTTAAAGAGGTTTTCTTTCACAGTTTTGGTGCATCAGTGTATGCTGGGAAGTACTTTTGGACGTGGCACAAAACACTAGTCGTTGCAGCTCCACCCAGACAGTGGTCAGTGCTGCGCCAGAGGAGAGCCAAACAGTTTTTGTTCACCCTCGGAAAGTCTCTGTCAGCTTCAGAGAGCTCTGTCAGCTTTCTTGAACTCCTGGTGAGACCAGCGGTGACCGAGGGGTGAGTCTCACACCAAAAGTAATAGCTGACGCTCATATCAGAAGGGGAGATAATTTTACCTTATTAAGGCCACCAGAAATAAATTGGGTAAAATATAGCAGGTGGTTGAGCAGGCCAATAACCAGCTTCCTCTGCTTTTCACAACTGTAGTTCAAGGCAATACTTTTGCACCTAGAACCACTCTCTAGTTCCACATTTGAGTTTTGCTGCTCTGATTTTATTTTTCCACTTCAATATTCCATCCTAAAGGGAAAACTGTATGGTACTTATACCAGATAGAGCACTGCTTGTTTCCTAGATATATGAAACAAAAAATATAAAACAAACAAACAAAAAACCCTAGACATAAAATTACATCAAATACAAATGCTGGTGTAATGTCTGAACTGATATATAGATATGAATTTATATACGGATATTTGTAATTACTAACAAGCCAGGAAAAAAAAAATCTAAAATGGTAGCAAGGAAAATCTTGTCAATAGCAAGCATCTATCATGAAGTGACTGTAATGGCAATCCTACATGTTGCTCAACAGTCACTTTGCAGTTACAGAAAAAGAACGATAATATGCATTATTTCCCTTTTCTACAGGAAAAGGGGTTTTGAAGGGCTGGTAGTTGGCTGGCCAGACATGTCTCCATCTGTCATAACTAACTTCTGTCTATGGTAAGAATTTTCTAGTAGTCATATACACCTGTCAGCTTTCTCCTGTACGCTATTGTGATGATTTTTGGGGGAATAGAGGGATCCAATTCACTGAGCACAAATCTATTCAGAGTAACATAAGACATAATCTTATCTGAAATTCTGAGACACTTACTTGCTACTTTGCACTAAAAACACTGACCCCAGCATCCTGTTCACTCTAATTGCTCTCCCTCCTCGTCTAAATATGTTTTTTATGAGAACACTATACCATTACCTCAAAGTCTCTAATTCTTCTTGCCTAGCTTGACTACATTCATTTCTGATACATTGCACCTCCTTAATGTTGTACCTGAGATGAATGGTTTCGTATTGATGTCTCTGGCTCATATCATTCTAGCTACATTTTACTTGCTGCTCACTACTCTCTGTGGCTTCCATGTCATAGCAAAGTGATCTTTCAAGAACTCTTTCAATTTAAATCGTTCATTTAAATCAAGAGCATTTGAAAGTTGAATGTTATGTCATTCTTTCAACATTTGTTGGTTTCAGAGAAAGTGCTGTATGTTTTTATCTGGTTTTCTTTCCGTACAGACACCCAGAACTGGATGATCTCTACAGTCTTCATCTTTAATAGAAGCCTGTCAGATTTACTTTTAATGATGGCTCTGTAACTATCCTGGGAAGCTTCCCTCTACATTTCTCCCCAGAACTTCACAACTGCTGAAGATGTCTCTACTCCAAAGTATTCATCCCAGCTTCCAAACCTGCCATATGCTCGGGGAAGGCTTGGGGAGTTCAGTGAGTGCTAAGTGCATGCCTAAGGAGTGAAACCTTGTTTATACCACTGATAATTATATATTTTAATACAGAATGATACTTCCTTCAAATGTTTTCCAGTTATCTGTGCCACGACCAATTTATCTGAACACTAAGCATTAACAATGACAGCGATCCTAAATCAGTACATTATGGTAGGCTTTGAGAGAAGTAGTATTTAATTTATTTGTATAAATTCAGAACATTTGAGAGCGCAAACTACATGTGGATGTAAAGATTTTTATTTATTTATCTATCTTTACCAGAATTATAGATTTCTTCTTTGATACTAGAAAGCCATATGAATGAGATGGCATATTTCTTACACAACTTATCGGACAGATATCTTGGTGTATAACTGTAAGGTAATATGATCCTAAAGAGTCAGGAATGCTGACAGTTATTTCGATTTCTCTCACCTATTTATTCTGACCTTGAGTATACTTCTTTCGGAGATCCGTTTTGTAAAAAATAAACTAGTAATATTTACCAACCTTATATGACACGACTGAGTCTCACTCAGCACAAGTGCATAAATATACACTCATCTGCCAGTGAAAAGACTCATAACGAATGCAAGGCAATGTTGTTATTCTAATGAGACATAGAGTACAATGTTACTTGGCCTCTGCTTCACAAAGTCTAAAATGTGTTAACATAAAAATAAAGGTATTTAATTTCTGGAATACACGAATTAATGGTTACACCTATTTTAAATCTCCCCGTATGGACATCAGTATAATACATTTACCCAACAAAACTATCCAAACACGTGGCAGAGCTGCCTTAAATTGAATTAAGTGAACCACAAAAAATAACCTGAAATAAAACTAAAGAAGCTCAGATTATAACGACCACAACCTCCTAATTTCACTATAAACTAAAAGTCAAAGTTTACAAAAAAAAATTAGAGAAATGCTTCACTTCACTATTGTTCTTTATCCATTCTGCTTTGTGACAGCTGCGTATACATGATTATATAAATATATATGTGCCCGCCTGTATTCTTATCCTGAGTAATCAAGCCAATCTCTCCTTGCTTTCAGTCCAGGACAAGTGATGTAATGTGGTTTTGTTTCTGTGCATGAGATAAAACATAGATTTATACCATAACGGATTGTCAGTGCACAGGACTGAGCTCTTATTCTTGTAATTACAAGAAAATCATGGTTACTTTCTGATGGTTCAATACCAATGTTAATGGTGCCCAGGATATGGTTCAGACTGCATTGGTGCTGCTTTTTACGATGCAGGTACTTGAAACACCTGCTGATGCTGGCAGTGGCGAGTGTGCACATGTGTGTTTGTGCGTGTGTGAATACCTGTGTGAACGTGAGCAGAGGACAGGCAATGAGCAGAGACCTGTTTAAAGAGAAGGAGCAGACACAGGCTGGAGGGAGACTAATGAAAGCAAAGCAGGCAAGTTCCAACCCAAGAAATTTGAAAGGAAACAACCATAGCTGTTAGTGCACATTCCCAGATGACACCAGAGGAAATCTATATTTAGAAGCCAGTGCAAATCCTAAAACGGGGTTGGGGAAAATTCCTACCGATGAAGAGTGAATATACTGTTCCAAACCCTGTTCTAGAGATGGATTATACACATACCTACAGAGAGCCCACAGAACAGAGGGGAGGGAGTTTTGCTGGAAGTTTTCACCATTGGAATATGATTTGTAAGATTCATAATGAGGTCATGAGAGGAAAGATTTTATTAGGCAGCTTTGTTTATGTGAGATGTGATATCCCAAGGAGTACATGAGGAGGGAGAGAAGGCAAGTGCTGCTGTATATGTGATAAGGGACGTGCTAAATCAATGCTGTCATTTGGTTCAATGCTTGGAAGAGTTAGGCAGATGATTTGTATTTTATTAAAAAATAGTTATTGGAGACTTCGGGCAGTAATCTGGATTGGGCTAACATGCTGTACTCACATACAAAATTATTAACGGATTGTTCCGAGACGCTGTTCCTTACAATCAGTCACAATGAATGAAAGCCTTGGGTCATATAAGAAATCTTGTCTAAGCTATATGAAGTCATCCTCTTGGTTTAACTATGTAAGTTTCCAGTGATGGGAAAAAGCTAGAGAAGGTTGCTGGTTTGGGTTTTTTTTTATGATTATAAAAAGAGAGTGCTACTACACTGTGCCATGTTCAAATAAGAAGACATACACACCCAGATACGAGGGAGAAAGTAGGTAAAAGCCTCATCACTGGCCATGCAAGCTGTAAACAGACATACATAACAAGACAACCATACTTGTTCCCTCCTATCCCAAATACCACGAACCACTAAAAACTCAATGGTCTATCATGCGATACCTCTCCCAGCTTCTCTCTCCCATGCCCAATCACTAATGCATAATCAGTCTGAGTCTCTACACGTGACTCGGATACCCCTATGCAGATAGCAGATATCTCCATGTGCTCCTGTGAAGCCTCTCCACATACAGGTTCTTCATAGGCAAGAGAACCTTTTACCTTTTATCCTTATGTCAGTTATTAAGATGTTTCATTTTTATACTTTAGTGAGAACACTCTAGCCATTGGGTGTTAATGTACAAATACAAAAAGGCAACTGAGAAAACACTTGTTGGCCATTGAAGACAGGTTTAGACAATAAGTGATTTTTACCAGCTCTGTAGAATTCAGAACATGACTGTACTTTTTGATTATATGATTCTTATTTACATAATAACATCTTGATGCAGAGATGCCTCTATCAAATTGTAAGCTTCTTAGCAGTGGTGTTGTTTCTTCACATGTGTTTCTATAGTAGTTGATAAAATAAGGACACACAAACTCTGACTGGAGTCTGTGAGCTTCAGCAATGCAAAAATATTTATCATTGAAATATTAACATTCTTGTAAAGCTGACAGAAATTACTTTTTCGAGTCATAAGAGTATGGAAAATAAAGGTACAGATGAAGTGTAAAACAGAGGTGTGCTATCCTTTATCATTACACTTTAGGGGAATCTATAAAATGACAGTAAAAAGCAACTAGTGCTTCCCTCAGTCCCCCCAAAATTCTAATGCAGCAGTAAAATGGCGTATGTCAGTAATAAAAATAAAATGTCTATGACATTTTAAATGTTATCATACTGTCACAGCGGAATAAAATTAGCTTGAAGAATGATCTAAAGGAATATGATGCAGTTCATTATGTATAACAGCAACAGCAGCAGTTTCCCAGTGTTCATAAAGGTTTCTCCATTAAATTTACCTCCAGTCAATAATTAGGAGTCCACAAATAAACCTAGGCAATTAAATCAATACTGCTGGGCAATTATGTTCCAAAGTCCTGGCTCAATGGCACAAAAAGACACTATATCAAACTGCAATATTAAGTGATCCGATGCACTTTTCAGCTGAACATTTTCTCAGAATAACAGAAAAGGGCAAGCCTGCATCTTTGTTCAAGGTGCAAACACATACACAGTTTGCCAACCTGTATCATTAAGTGAGCAGTCTGTTACAAGCAAAGTCCTGACAGAAAGCTTTGATTTCACCACGAGCTTTAGTTTTCTGATAAGAAATATTACCAATGCCTACCTAAAGGAAACCACAGCCAAACTCTCTACAAGATATGAGTTAAGGATTTTAAAGGGCATAGAGCTCTTCCATGAGCTGCTCCCAAATAGAGACCAAGAAATCTTAGCAATTTCCATCCATGTGACTTAGCATGGACAGAAATGAAAAGCAGAGCTGGCTGCTCCCAAAAAGCACTCATCTCCTTGTGATTCTAAAGACAGTCGGCTTGCCAAGAATTACTTTTACCCTCAGAGCTCCTCCTAAGGAACCCCACAAGATGGAGCAAAAACCACTGAAAACCTCTATTAACTTGTACACAAACTGATATGGCTAAGAGCAATGAGTTCCTCTATCCTTAGCTAATATTTGCAATCCTAATATAGTTGGTTACACAGTCAACGACCCCCTCACTCTCCGTGCCCTGGTTTTTGCTGTCTGTCTATATCAGACAAAGAGAAGTGATAAAATTCTGCTTAGGATTTTTTAACGATCTGCCAAAGAATGATAACAAAAAATAGAATAAGAATCGTCTGTCATTTTCCATGAATTTGATTCCTATTTTGGAGTCCGTAATATGGACAGAATCTTGACATTTATAGATTTTAAAAAAATTCTTAAAATGAAGGCAATTTAGTGAATAGAAATATTTGTGCTTTTACTGCTAAGTTCCATGTAACACTACAAGGTTAAACTAAAACGCCAGTATTTCTGACAAAGCCAGTAAAAGCAAACTGATATTTCCACCTCCTCCACTGCAGCAATTAAGCAGTCTTAATGCTAGTAAGTTTTGATATTGAAAGAGGGAAAACCTGTCATTTTTTTTTAAATTTGGTCATAGGACACAACCTAGACACAAAAGCTATTAATGATAAAAAATATAAATCCGAATGTGATGGTTCCCTTGAAATGGCTTTCACGATATTTTCAATCATCCACGTTCTTAACAGAAATGAACTACATCGCTAATGGACCCATGCTAGTGAATATGCATTAGGAACACTGGATTTATACATCAAATTTTATTTCTTTTCAGACATCAGCTACCCATCATCTGAATAAAGGAGACAACTAAAATATAATGGAAAAGTTTCAAGAGTCAGTGTGTGTTGTCAGTGATGTCCAAACAAAAGCTGACTACGGCTAGAAAAGCAGGGCTCTCCCCTGCCAATAAACTGCCCTTGATCACTTACAAGAGGGGAGCATCCCAGCAGACTGTGTGTGTATTAAAAAAAAGACTTGAAAGAGAAGAAAAAGTATCACACAGGTCACAGCGGCAGTCTCAATGGACCCCTCAGGGATTTCTGCTAGTCTCAGCCTTGTCATCCTCTATGCAGCTTTCCTCTCTGCCCAGAAAATGTCGATAGGAAAATGTTTGAGGGGCCTCTGGTGGAAATTTTTTCATTCTTTCTGCATTGACAGGATGCCAAATCAATATTTACTTCCCACTAACAAGCTGCTCGAGGTCTCAGTAGAAAATATTGTAGAGAATGCGGGAAGACACGATAATAAACAGCTGTCTGGCTATGAGGAAAACATGAATTGACTGGAAACAGGTCCACAGTAAAAGGTCACTGAAACCCATGAACTCCTCAGGTGTCCATATCAACTACTAACTTTAAAGGCACATAATAAAAAATCTCTTTTTCCTGAGAGGTATGAGAGAATGGATCCTTTTCACTCTAGCAAGCATTACACACTGTCTCAATAATTCAATTAACACATTTGCCAAGATCTGTGCTGGTTTTCTCCAGCATTGTTTCACTGGTTTCAGCTGTTAAGTTAGCTATCATGAATCCTCGGTTAGCATGTCTTCAGTTTTATCCAGTGACTCTTATTTTAAGAGAAACAAAAAGGAAATGCTACAATGTAAGGATTTTACATTGCCTTATCACAGTATAGTTTGGGACCATCAATGCCAACATAATTACAAATGCAACAGATTAATTACAACCTAAAAACACTTAGCTACTCAGAGTAGAAAGTTATAATTCATTAAAGGAAGATGTAAATTTAGCACCTGTGCTTCAAGAAGTCGCTGTATATACTGCAGCCACTCTTTATCTTTTTCAAATTCCATTTTCGCCTTCGCTGTTTCCTAAAAATAAAAAAATATAACAGACAATATTTTGACACCACGTGAAAAGAACATAATGAACAATAAAGGAAATGTGTAACTGGATATACACTAAATAAACAGCATGTGGGAGTGGGAACTATGCTTGCAAAACTAGTTATCTGAAGCATATCCACCAAGTATGAGGGCTCTGTTAAATTCAGAAACCTATCCTTATCTGTGATTGTCCCTAGAAATATGAACAGCATGTTCTTTTCACATGAATATACAAGTGTATGTGTGATATATGTGTAAATTTTATGACTTCATTGTAAAGGTTCCTGAGTCTATACAATGATAAATGGAATATGTATCTAAAATTTGTGTAGTGTAAATTCATCACTTGTATTTTAAATTTGTCTTCTATCTATAGTTAAGTATATTTGTGTGTTTTACACATATATTCACAACAGTGATTACAACAAAATATATAGGATGTAGAAATTGCTTTAAGAATGAGGTAAGCATGGAACAATTCTGTCAAAGTGAATCACTTTACAGGGGTGTATAGATGTTAGTAAACAGGGCAGGGATCAGTCCATTTTATTTGTATTCATGAATGTAATCCATATCAGCGCATACACATACAATGCACCTTTATCTAACCAACGTGAAAACTCTCTTCTGTAATATAAAGCTCCAGTAAGGCTAAACCTAAGTCATCACCAGAGTACTGTTACATGGTCAACTCCTAGACACTCTTATTAAAGTAAGTGTACAGGCTTTTTCATGTATTATTTGATCAGGCCTAAATAAATCTGGATAAGAAATGCTATTACTATATCTATTTAATAGAGGGTGATTTGATGAAACACTATCAAATATTTCATAGTAAAATGTATGATAGAATCAACAAAAAAAGGCAATGGATTCCCCCAGAAACCATCTATCTACTAGAAATACCTTTAATAGGAATCACAATTCAACAAAGGAAGCATCAATGGAATCAATCTGGCACAGCAAGACACATTCTAATTTTGTTTTCATTAATGCAGAATTCTATTTAAAATGTATAACCCTGCCAAATAGTCTCATGAAAAAGGAACTACTAAGAATTTTCAAAAAAATGTCTCTACATCTACATGATCAAACCAGCATATTTATATTTTATTTACGCATGCCCAAAGTCTTGCCACCTTATGAGTCTCTAACCTGACCTCTTTATTTAAATCCAACTGTTCTGTTCTTTTTGTGCTGGATGCTGCAGAATGAAATTCCTGTCTTTACCTGGAAATCCTTTTCTTCAAGAATGGAAATATACAACATCTTCTGATCTAGCCCCTTTTTACTGAAGAGTCCTTAAAATAACTTACCTCATCATCTTCTACTTCTAATATCTCCTCAAGATCGGTTGTTGAAACATTAAGGATAGACGCTGCCAGCTGAACAGACTCTTGGGAAAGACCCTTCTTGCATGCTCTCACTTCTCCCATTTTTTTTGCCTGTTTGATTTTTGTTCTCAATTCTTGTACGCTGTGCTGTAACTCTCTGGTTAAAGCCTGGAAGATGCAAGCAAAAAATACTGCATTGCAACTTTTCTTGAAGTGCAAACACTATGGAAAAAACAGTATCATTTAGACTAAGCTCCTTTAGATAGGCATTATCTTCATTCTGTGTTATTGGTTCAATAGGATATGTGCCGTAATATTAAATAACATGGTATTTAGAACACAAAATACGAATACATTAAAACAAGAAAATGTTCTTAAAGATAGGTACAATTTTTAGCAAAATAACTATATTCATAATGCCATCAGTAGTAAGACAAAGCAGCTTCCACAGAATCAATTAAAAGTCCTTTCCTGATCCAGTCTACCAGAAATGTTCTTGAAATAACAACAGAAGTGTCAGGCCAAACAGACAGGTGGTCAAACAGACACCTTTTTAAAGCTTATTCATACCTCATTGCATGAAGAAACACCAGTATACCTCTTTAATCAAAACCTGAAATTTGGTTCCCACCAAGACAGGGTAATTCAAAACTGTCCTGGCTACCGATTCTTCCCGATATAATTTCTACAGTCCAAATCGTCACAGTAGTCGTTATCCATTGTTGATAAGCAGCATACCCTTGGAGCACACAAGTCCCCCATATTATTATTCAAGGCCTGCATAGGAAAGGTTGTATTCTCTAAGCAGCTGGCTCATACAGAACGCCTATCCAGGCCAGGCAGTCTCTTTGCAAGGGTGCTTTTAGCAGATAGTAGTGTTTTAAACAGATACCAGCTCAGGCGGTGGGAGGAAGATCAGGTGCCAGACCAGAACGACTGCAATTGTTCTTTAACCCTGGCTTTGACAGGGCCTGAAACAGGGATGCCAAGAGAAGCCTCAATTTTAGATCCAGTTTCTGCTGTTGAAGACTTTTCATTAGTGTTAAGCAAGAATTAGAGCTTGATAGGATGTCTGATGCTGTTAATGCTGCATAATTAAACTGTGTTTATTATCATTACTTCTATTATTAGTGACTAATAAAGACAATAATAATAAAGGACAATTTTTCTATGATCATTTCTGAAATGTGGTATACACCACTAATCCAGAAAGATGCCTGCAGCTTAAAAAAAATCCAGAAAAACAGAAGAATACTATCAAAAGAAAGCTGTTTGAAAGGTTTAAATGATAGGAAAGGAGAACCATTATCTGGAAAAAGGGATTACCAGGATTTAGTAAAGCTGATGTAAAAACCTAGGAAAAGTAAAAAATAGAGTGATAACTAGACAAAAAATTGTACTTGCAGTTAATGGGAAAGAAGAAACCCAGCAGTGGTGAGACTACTCTCCTTTATTTAAAAGTAGAATAAAAGAAACGGTATGAAACATTCTGCTGAAAAGGCTTGGTTGACCCGAATGAAAGCTGAATGGAATCCAAACCTGATTTTGGATTTTGTTCCCCAACACCACACAAGTACTGAGTTCGAGTAATACCTTCCACAGCTGAACATGTGAACAGTTTGGCCAAAATTGCACACTAAAGAATTGATGGTTCAAGTTCATACCTCTCCTATTCCTAAAGTTTTCTGGTTCAGTGAAATAACACTAAGCATTAGTATAAATCATCGGTTGTATAACTGAAGTTATTTTGTTTCAATATTTATGCAAGCATGACAACAGCATTTTGTCAAAAGCAGAGCAAAACAATTTTATTTCAAAATTGTTGGCTGAGAGACAAGAGCATTAACTCATTGTCAGAAGATCCTCCTAGCATATTCAACTTCCATGACTCAAGCAGAACTGTGATTGTCAACACAGACACCTTGGCTGAGTTTAAAATGAGAAAATAAGGTTTTCTTTCGATCGTCGTATGTGGGGCTCATCTTATTAAACTATCTCTCACCAGTAGCTGATAAGCTCCTGAAAATTCTTTTTTCTGCAGAATGCCTTCATCTCATAGAAACTGACTGCAAAATTATGAAGGCTGTTTATCGGCATTTGGGGTAAAGTACTCTACAGCCTCTAGTGTATTCAAAATATAGACATTAGAGAGCATTTGCTGATATATTTCAAAGAAAGCACAACAGATTCACCTGATTCCAAGATTTGTTTATTTTTCTACCACTTCCCAACTTAACATTTTTCTGTATTTAGATAAAATTTAATTCTTAAAAGGAAAATTACCCTACCACAAATTTGGGGAGAGAAGGTACACTGAAATTTGTCCCATTTTCTGATTCAAGTGTGGGTCCCTCCATCCACAGTATTTCCAACAAAATATCTTGTACATAGAGCTGAGAGGAATGAAGAAACTTGAAATGTTATAGGCAGGGAGCTCGGGCAACTTTGACCAAGCTCATAGAAGGAAACAGACTAAGAAAGGACAGAGCCCCAAGTAGAAAAGCACACACTATGTAAAAAAAAATTACAGATAAATCACAACATGTTTTTGTAGCATTTGAAATGGTCCAACAGTAAATTGGCTCCTGCAACATGTAGGTGTATTTGACAATGGAAAAACAAGCTCAACGGTACTTTTTTCAATCAAACTGAATCAGCTTCCCAAATTTTAAAAATAAGGAGAACTCTCTCAGACATAGGTGATCAGGCTAGGAGATGCACATTTGTACACTGGTGCAAAGAGGAAATGTAAATCAAAGGAGTAAAATGTCAAGGAAATTAACTGCAAAGCCACATGGAAAGACTACAAATAATGATAAATAGCTGAGCACAGACAAACAAAAAGCATGATAATAAACATTCACTGAAACATCTTGGACAATATGCAACCACTGCCAGACAATAGTCTTATGATATTATTAGATAAATTTTATTGGTGTATCCAAAATCCAAAAGAGGTTCATGACGAATGAACAAGCTGATAGCAATAGCAACAGTGGAACCCAGAAACTGCAGCTCCACTGTGCTTGTCTTTTAGTTCAGAGTTCCAGAAAGGATGGTACCAGGAAGACCCTGAAGAATCTATAGCAGCAATTAAAAAAAAAAAAAGAAAAGAAAAAAAAGAAAAAAAAAGAAAAAAAGAAATAAAAAAAGAAAAAAAAGGAAGTTTAAACAAAAATGAAGATAAAATTACAACTAATAGGTTTTGATATGCAAGCATACACATTATATGTAATCACAGTAAATCATACATATAGAGGACTTGCACTTCAATTCCTTTTTTCCCTGAGCAGTTCTAATACACTAAAGCATGGTCTTTCACCATATGTGAAAAATAAAGCTACTTTATGGACTTTCAAATCGGACTCTCAGAGGCCAGCTATTTTTGAACCTGCCTTCTTCACATTATTAAGTTGCAATATAATGTTTTGATATGCATTTTTCATTGGAGAAGTGCCTTAAAAAATGATAGCCTCCCTATGATTTTAAGTTGCTTTTTCTGTTGATATATCCTCATCCGTCATATACAAATATATTCATGTGCTGAACTGTTTACTTATTAGTGATTTCATTTACATGTCAGTTCATGCTTTACTACAGAAATGTTCAATGTCAAAGCCACATAGGTCTTTAACTGAGTTACGAAGAACAATTTCCAAACTGAAAATGACAAAAACCTAAGAGTTAACCAACACAGGTTTTGTCGGTGAGTGTACTGAAGCCAGTATATAATTCTTTGATTAAGAAACTGATTCAACGCATTCTGGAGCTAAGTGTAGGATTTTAAACGAAAACATTTCCCACTGTGTATTTCAGAATTGTTTGGTTTTAAACTTATAAGCATACATACATGATACAAACTGCCTGCAATGAAATCAATGCAGAATATGGCTTCAGCACTGTATTGATGTATGACAGCAATGCCTTTATTAGTACTAGTAATACTAGGATTTGATCTTTTCTCTTTGTTTTTCTTCAGTGTCAAATCTAGGGGATATTTTGCTAGTAAAGTCGTTTTCCCAACTTAGATGTCACCGTCACAGTTACTCCTGTGGGACACACTTAGCTGCTACCAGCCAACTAGAGGAGGAATCTGTGATTAATTCCTGAAAACAAATCTACGACACGTCTTGTCAGACCAGTGCAATTGCTACTTGTCCAACTAGAAAAAAAAAAAATCTTAAAATTCTAACAACCTTAAAGTACCCAGCTCTTTTTACTCAGTAGCAATTGTTGCATTATCTACCAACTCCACATGGTTATATAGTATATATTACATCTACTGGGTTGCATACAGTTCTAAAATATCTCCCTTATAAGCCTTTTTACTTTGTTTTCACAACCCAAAAAATTAATTCTTAAGATAATAGTTTTCAATTTTGGTCTCAGCATGGAAACACCTTTTAGCACTATATCTTTTGCCAGTTTTGAGATATATAAAGACAAAGGGGTTTTTTTATTTAAAAGGTCATATTTAATTAAACACTCAAAGAAGCTGTGGTGATACACAGACCCTGACAACATACTATTAATAAGGTCTTTACATCCCAAAAACCTCTGACAGTAGTTGATCTTGGAATTTATGCAAATTGATCAATGGCCCCAAGTAATGCCATATGATGAAGTCAATGCCTAAAATTATTCTTGTAATTACCATGTTAATTTACACACTCTATTGTTATTGTTTGTAGTATAATAAAACTTAATGTCCCCAAGACAGACCAAAGTCTGATGCTAGCACTGTAGCTATGTATAGCTAGATTTCAGTCTTGCACTGGTGCAGATCTCACGGCAGAAGCCATGGCTCACATTAGTTATGGAAAATTTTAAGCTTTACTGTGCTTTGTACAATAGCAATAATGTTGCCCTGGGTCTGGCTGGGATGGAGTTAATTGTCTTCTAGCAGCTCCTACGGTGCAGTGTTTTTGGATTTGTGACTACAATAGTGTTGATAACACACCAGCTATTGCTGAGCAGTGCTTGCACAGCGTCAAGGCCTTCTCTGTTTCCCAGCTTGCCCGCTCAGCGAATAGGCTGGGGTGCACAAGAAGTAGGGAGGGGATGCACCTGAATTGACCAAAGGGATATTTCATACCGTATAACGACTTGCTCAACAATAAAAACTGAGGGAGATAGGGGATTGGTCTGGCAGGTAACCACTGCTCAGA